AATGTTGTAATATTTTCTCCTCCCTTCAGGTTTTTTGAAGTCGCGCGTTAGACGCCACAGATTTGTGTATGTATGCTTGTGTGTGTGTGTGTGTGTGTGTGTGATTGTGTGATCGCTTTACGACGACCATCCGTTCACACCTTGATCTCCTGCTTTCCCCGTCCGGTTATTTCGGATGGCAAACGTTTGCAAAGGACCCTTTTACCCTCTTTTTTCCCCCTCACTGCTGCTTTTATTTTCTTTTTTACTATTGCCATTCTTTTGATTATTATTCCGTCAGCTTTCTCCTCTCTCTTTCCTCTCTCCCTCCCTCAGAATACAACTGGAGAGAGGAGTACTCCAAAAGAGCTGAGCGACAACGCGTTGCGGCGAGACGCCACTTTCACGCGTCCATTTAGCTCTCTTCTCGTATCTGTTACTATTATTATTACTATCATTTTGTTGTTCCTTTGGTGGGACGGTGTCTTCGTGAACGTCGGTACCCAAAGGACACAGGTGAAGCTGACAACGGAAAGAAACGATAGAATTTACGCCGTGCGCCGTTCAAACGACCTGTCCTCTCCTTTATCGATGGAAAACCAGGGGAAGTCAGGCGTAAACGGCAGCACCCGCAACGGTGCTACCGCCGTCGCCGGGGCCTCGTCCGCAGTTCTTTATACACTCCTGCAGGATCTCGGTCTGACAGCGACGGCACAGGCGCTCTGCGAAGAGCTGCAGCGGCAGCACGCCTCCGCACCCGCAGCCGCAGCCAGCGTACCGCATGGGCCCAGCCTCCCTCCTCCAACTGGTCAGCACGAGGCCGCCGCCGATCAGCCGCCACCGCCATCACCGTCGTTGGAGTCGACCAACACGGCCGTGAGACGGCTATCAGCGGTGTCCGTTTCGCCGCCCCCACCCGCCGCCCCGACCGAGACGGTCTCGATCCCTTCCTCCACCTCGGAGGACCCGCACGCAGAAGAGGAGGTGAAGAAAGCCCAGGCACCGGTCAACGATCTCGGTGCGGACGCAGGCCCATGCACGGCAGCTGTCGCGGCTCTCGCTGCCTGCGCTGTGGAACCCGTCCACGCAGCTTTTTCGAAATCGAATCCAACGCCGGCCACCATAGACGCCATCGAGGCGGCTTTGCTCACGCTGTGGAAGGGCGAGGTCAGCGCCGTGCACCCGACAAGCGCAGCTGGTCCAAAGGCGTTCTACATCGCCTCGCTCATCGCGCGGGCAGCGTGGTGCGAGATGCACCTTACGGAGGTTGCGTTCCTGCAAGAGTACCATCTGGCGCAGTCTTCCTCGTGTGTCTCGCCGGCAGTGACGGCGGTTCTGCACGACGCACACGAAGTCCTGGTCAGCCACGCCCTTCAACTTGTTGCGACGCTACAAGAGCTACTGGCGGTTACCGGGTCGTCGGCAGCGGCAAGCCAGGTCCGTGTAAAGGAGGGGAATGGCGCGGATGGCGCACGGAACTGTCCTCCGCCTACCGTCGAGACGTCCCTGTCAACGGTGATGACGGCGCGTCTGCACGCCAAAGCTGTGGAGTGGCTGCGCAATGCGGAGTGTGTGATGGCGTGGGTGCTGCAACGGCAGACACACTTTGACGCGCCCACCCAGAAGGCCAACGGTGAGCAGCACCCACCACAGCAGCGCAAACGACGGTGTCTCGAGCCCACGCCCGCGCCGGGCCAGCACCATGCCTCGATGAACCACAAAAACGGCAACGGTGTGGTGCCGCAGCATCTGCGGCCTCTTCAAAATGCTATTCTTGGGATCGCCAGCGCCGCCACGCACAACGAGGACGGGAGCGCGACGGACGGTGTTGGTGTGGTGGTCGTGCCGGCATCCTATCAACAATGCTTGGCAGCAGAAAACGCACAGACGCACCCGGACGGCGTCGATCTTCACGCCTCGGTCCGCCTTCCCATCTCGGTGCGCCTTGCCATGGCTGTTCAGCGCATCAAGCTTTTCCTCACCTTAATGGGGGCCCTGGCGTTCAACGGCGACAACACCATTGTCTCTACAGTCGTCAAGGCTGCGATGACGGACCAGAATGCCGCTTCAGGCAGCAACGGTCACGCGTCAGCGCAGAAGAAGGCCACACCCGTGAAGCACGCTGGTGCGACAGACGGTACGGTGGATGTTGTCCGTCGCTGGTGGTCGTGGCGGTGCGTCACGCAGGCGCAGCTGCTGCAGCAGATCGCGCGTCATCTGCGCTCCTTCGCCGCGATGGCCACCGCAGCCTCCCCAACCGCCACAGCGACAGCAGCCCTTCGCCGCGGAAGTGTCCCCGCCAACGAAGTGCTGTCCTTCGTCTCCCTCCTCGACACACAAGCAAGGCAGCTACTCCTCTCCCCTGTCTCCGTCGAACATCTTGCGGGAATGAGTTCCTTTGGGGTACCAGCACAACAGCAGCAGCAGCAACGCACTCACCCGTTTCTCGCAGTCCAACTTTTGAAGGCGTTGGAGCTGGAGCAGAACGAGCGCGCAGCCTGGTTAGACCGCTTCGCTCTCGAGTACGCCACCGCCACCTCTGCGGTTCACCTGCCCAAATCCCTCTCCGTTACCACCACCAGCCTGCAGAGCAGCGGCGAGGTCCTTTGCAGCCCCAGCATCAGCGTCAGCAGCCCAGCGGCACGCAGCGAGACTTCCTCGGTGAACTCTGCGGTGTGGACGGTGCCTTTGCCCAACCTCCCCGTCTCCACACCAACGAGAGCAGCGGCGTCAGCGGGGACAGCAAAGCCGCTAGCGGACGCTCCACAAGCAGTGAACGCGGCTGTCGGTGTGCATACTTTGGAATTCGCTGCCGAAGCCGCAGCGGCGTGTACGGCGGTCCGCGCTGCCGCGCACGTGCTGCGGTGGCAGCCGCACTTTACCGACCTCCTCACCACCATCGCTACAGGGCGTTGGCAGGCCCCCACAAACACGTCACCCATCACACATCCCTGCTCCCAGTACAATCGAACACGACTCAACCTCATGCATGCCCTGAGCCATGCACAGGAGTTGGTGCGACTGCAGCCTCGTCGCCCGGTCGCCGTGAACGGCTGTGAATACGTGCCGCGACCCGGCGTGGACGCAAGCACCGAGGCGACGCTTTCGTTGGTGGAACTGATGCCACGCGTCATGCAGCTCTTCACGTTGCAGGACACGCACGTGCTGCAGCGCGTGCAGACGCGGTTGGCGGCGTCGAAGACAACGAAGGAGGCGGAAGAGGATGGCGAAGCGGCGGCGGATGCAGCGACTACGCAGCGCAAAGCAACGAATAGCGGGGCAACCGTGCTGCTCGCGCGGCAGCTGCGACGACCACAAGAAAGAGCATCAGTGTCGCCAACAGCGCAGCCGGCGGCGCCCTCTTCTTCATCGTTGCCCCGAACGCCCTCCTCGCAGCGAGAAGGAAGCGGCAACAGCATTAGCAACCAAAACGCTCATCCCAACAAACGTGCGACGCTCACCTCACTGGCCAGCACTTCCGGCTCCACCGTCGGAGCTGAGCCGGTGCCGCTGCGTCGGCTCGCCGTCGCGGTGCATCAAGCCTTTGCCCGCGGCGCGGCGTCTACCACGACAGCCACAACACCAACAACAATAGCAGCAGCGGCAGAGGACAACACTGCAGACCACAACAACGGTCCCAGCGCACCAGGCTCCACGCCTTCTACCAGTGCCGGGTTGAGTCTCGCCGGTCGGCCAGAGAGGGCAACGTGGTCGCCGGAGTCGGCTGGCTTGGAAACCGCAGAGTCCCTCGAGCCCCTTCGCGCCCCTTCCTCCTCCTCTGCTCCCTCTCCCCCGGTACTGTCCTCAGAGAATGAAGAGCAGCCCAGCACCCAGCAAAGCCACCACAGCGACAGCAGCAGCACCGTCAGCGGCAGCGCGGAGGCCTTCCACGGCGACGAAGAGGAGGCTGTCGTGTCCATCTACAACCCCGATATCGAGGCCGAAGATGAGGAGGAGGAGCACATCACGGACGACGAGGAGACGGATGGAGAGTGGTCGCAGAGCGCTGTCGAGGTGGAAGAAGAGGAGGAAGCGGAAGACGACGATGAGGTCGATGAAGATGAGGAAGGTAGGTCCGAAGCATCTTCGGCTGATTTGGACTACGACCGCGCCGAGGACGCCATGAAGGAGGAAGTAGAATCCGTGGAGGTGACGGACGATGGTCGTCTGCTGGCGCTGTTAACGGCGCGTGGCCGGCTGACCGTTCTCCGCCTGCAAGCCCGTGACTCCTGCGAAAAGTACGAGGAGGAGGTGTTGCTGGACACCATGTTGCCGCGTGTGCCGGAGAAGCGGCTGCAGTGGTACGAATCGCTGAGCTCCTTTGTTCGCTTCTCGCCCTGCCACCGCTTCGTCCTCGCCTCTGTGCAATTCCTCGCCGTCCACGAGAAGCAAAACGCGCGTGGGGCGTTGGCGCGCTCGCAGGGAGACAACGCCGGCGAGGTCTGCGTCTTCTCGCTGCACTGTGAAGACCACAACGGCGCCGATTACGAAAGCGACGGCGCAGGCAGGAGAGGTGGCAAGGGCAGACGCGCTCGCACGCATTCGCAGATCACAAGCGAAGCAGCGTCCACCGCGGCAACGGCGACAGCCGCCACTACAACCGCGTTTGCTGATCGCGCACAGCGCCTTCTATACCCGCTGCCCGATCGCCTGTACGAGTGCTTTCGTCCGCACACCGCACCGTGTCTGTCGGCGCGCTGGGTTGACCCACGCTGGTGGGGCGGCGGTCGGCGCAGTCGCTGGGCAAACAGTGCGACGGAGCCGTTGAACACGACGACAGCGGCGGCCGCAGTCGTGGTGCGGAGTGCCGAAGGCAGCAGCTCGGCCCAACGGTCGCCGGTGCAGGAGCCGCTGCAGCAGCAAGAACAGCAGCAATTGTTGCCAGCCAGCTGGCGTGTTGCCGCAGCCGTGCTTCTTAGCGAGTACCAGTGTCTCTCCGTTGGTGCGGATGACCGCATTATGCGATGGATGGCGTCCTCTGGCGTGGTGCTGCAGAGCATTACAACCGAGCCAGCGCAGGACCTCGTTGTATCCCCGTTGATGGCGGCCTTTTACGTGATGAGCGACGCGGGTGATCTTTGCATGTACGACGCGTGGGATGAGCGGGACTTCGGGGAGGCGGGCGGGAGCGCCTCGATTTGGTCGAACAGCCTCGACATCTGCGAGCACGAGGCACGTCTGTTGATGCTGCCGGTGACAGATGACGGCCACCCGTACTACTACCGCACCGGTGCCTCGACGCAGCCGTATGCCGAGGTGGCGGACCCGGCGTCTCGTCATCGCGGTGCTGTGGCCGATGAGAGCGGTCCTGGCGCCGTGGGAGGCGGTTTTGAGGACGAGGTGCACAAGGCACGTCATCTCGTGCATTACACCGGTCCCGTGACGCCAGTGTTCCAGCGCATGATCGACCCGGCGGAGACGCGGCGGCGGCGGATGCAGACCGTCCAAGGTCGCAGCAGCAGCAGCAACGGCAACGGCAAAAGCAACAATGTGCAGCGTCGAGCGCGTTCGCATCGTCGTGAGCCGCGCGATGACGACGGTGCATCACACCGTGGAGGGGACGAAGAAGAAGGTTTGCAGGAAAACCGTGGCCGTTTGGTGTGCGGTGGCCTGCCACAGAGTCTGCGCTGGTTGCTGCCGCGACGATGGACGGCGCACACGCCGTGGGACTCGCAGCTCGGCCGCCGGCTTATTCAGCATTTACTGAACCGGAGCAGCGCTCCGACATACGCGGCGGAAGGTCAGCTGTGCTACGAGCGAGAGGACGAAGACGACGACAGCGAAAGCTACGATCCGGCCGACACGAAGACGCGTTCTACGGGAAGAGGCGCTATTGCGGGCACGCGGACCTCTCCCCCGCAGCCACAGCGGCGCGGCGAGGAAGAAGAGGAAGAAAATGGCGGCGACGGCACCGAAGACGAAGCGCATGGAACCGAAAGGGAACGTGTAGGCAGCGTCTCCGGATACTCCAGTGGCGTCGCGGCAGACGAAGAAGCGGAGCAGGCGGAAGAGGAAATGTGGGAGTACGACTACACCAGCAGTGCACACCGCGGTGTCGACGATGACGGCGTGCGGCCGCCTCCGCAGCTGTCGCATTCCGTCGTCCAAGGACAGCGCGACGACGTGGCCGCCGCCGCACGAGACACGCCGGTGGCGGTGCGAGAGTGTCCATCTCACCCAACCCCGGCCCGCGGCTCGCTGCGTCGCGCCTACTATCCCAGCGGGGCGTGTCTAGTCTACAAGAGTGTGGGAAGGGCGTTGTGCGCAGCCGCGGATCTCGCGGACCGGCAGCGGAATGAGGAGATGGGTCCCGGCGGCTTCACCCACCACCTGCTCTCCTTCGCTGTCTCGGGCAGTCCGCAGTGGACGATGGAGAGTCGGCTGTGGAAAGGGGACGAGAGCGGCGAGGGAGAGGAGGAGCAGTCCGTAGCGGCGCTGGACACGTTCGATCGCGCGGAGAGAACGAATGGCTGGGCCAATGGGACCAGCGGCAACAAAAATGGCTTTCCCGTTGTGGGGAGGACAACACCCACCCACTGGTCCACCGCGGCGCTTGCACGTGTGATCTTGTGGCGCAACCGCCTGAGCACCCTCCGTCACTTAGAGAAGGTTCCCTTAGACACCTGGGCCCAGTGGGAGACAAGGGTGCTCGCCACTACCTTCCACGCAGACGTGGGATCGCAGACAAAGGCAGACCGCGCAAAAAGCGCAGCGACACCGAATTGGAGCGCGGCGGAGATGCTGGCCACTCGCGGCTTTCAGCGCACGCGTGACGTGTGGCGACGTGATGCCCCTCCGGCGCAACGCGGCCTAGCCGCCACCGCACGCAATGGCCGCTACCTGTGCATCATGGCCGCCGTGGGCCCTTATCGCAAGCTGGTGAACCCGCGCGAGCCACTGCGCGACGTGAAGGGTTTCTACGCCTGCGTCGTATTTGACTTGTACGCCGGCACCGTGCTGCGTGTCATTCCTGTGCGCCCGGTCGACCCGTCGGACGTGCATGGGCTGAACGCGTACACCTCGCAGCAGCACGAGATGGACGTGAAGATGCCTCTCTATCGCCTGCAGTGCGCCGTGACGATTGTGCCGGTCGCCGCTGCCACTCCGTCAATGAAGGACAACGACATGCAGGCGGCAGAGGAGGAGGAAAGGCGTGACGACGATGCGGCGGAGCCGAGCGAAATTGTGGTGCTGACGGTCGGTGGGCTAGCGAACACCGTGTACGTCTTTGACGCGTTGAACGGCCGTCGCTTCGCCTGCGTGTGCGATGTGGAGCGCCGGTGTGGGCTGTCGGCAGCGGCAGCGTACGCGGCGTCTCAGGCAGCGCGTGTTGCCTCCGTGGCGGTCGTCGCCACCACTCCCACAAATACCCCCGCTGTGGAGAAGCAGGGTGGTGGTGTTGGGATGGCAGCACCGTTGGCGCAGGAGGCGCCGCCGGCACCCCGCCCTTCCTCCTTACTCCCCTCCTCCATTCGTAAACCAGCCGATGTGCTCGCCTCCGTGGCGGCGTGGGGACGCGGCACCGGCTTTGACGGCATCACCGACCGTTCTCACTCTTCCACCTCCACCTCCTCCTCCGTCACATCGCTCTCCGCCTCCGAGGGGCGGCTCGCACATGTTGTGGACGGTGGGGCAGCCGGGGTGGCGTCTCCGATGGGGCCGGCCCGAGCGCCGCTCTCCTCCTTCATCGCAGCCGCAGCACCGCCGTCGCAGCAGCAGCGAGTGAGGGACCCCAACGCACAAGTCGACGCGGCGTACCGTGCCGTGCTGCAAGCCGTGAGCGACGATGGGGATTTCGTCCCGCGTCTTCTGCAGGCCAACACGGCGTGTGCGTCCGCTGCGGTGGAGTGGGACTTACGTGCGATCCTCGGGGTGTACCACCGTCAACACGGTACCGCAGCCGCGCAGCTAGCTCATGTGAACACGGGAGGAGTGCAAACAAGCGTAAGAAATGCGGATGACACGAGCAGCGACTCGGACTGGGAGACGGCGGAGGCGGAGGCGTGGGAGCTGCACCTTCCGCCCCAACAAAGCAGAACTGCCGGCGGTCCGCCCCCACACACACCCGCGGCCTCGTCTACATTGCCCAAGAACGGAGGAGGGGCTGGCAAGACAAATGGGAAGGCGGCAGGCAGCAGCAACAACGGTGGAGGTGCTGCTGCTGCTGCAGCGGCGGCGGCTTCTTCATCGCCCTCCTCCACTCTCTTCTCGTTCTACCAGGCTCTGTTGGGTGGGACGTCGTCAGGGCTGAACGTGGACAAGGACAACGGACATACGAGCGCGTTGGTGTCCGCCCGCGGGTCGGGGTGGCGGCAGCAGCGACGTCGCCTCCTGGAACGCGTGCTGCGTCACTACGATGTGGATCTGCTTTGGCAGGCTTACGTCGCCCTCTTCGCCGCGTCCACGACGGCTGCGAACGCTCTCGCGCCGCAGTCGGCCGTGGCGGCCTTGGTGACGTGGGCCCGACACACCACAGCGGACGCTGCCAGCAGTATGACCGGCCCCCTCGTTGTCTCCTCCGGTCCATGGGTGTGGTGTGGCTCCCGCCGTCGCTCCAGCAATTTCAACCCCATCATCACCGCACACCAACCGCACCATCGTGTGGGGGAGGTCACCGGAAGTGATGGAACTGTGAAACGGGGAGACGAGACGGCCCACACAGGCCACTTCACTGGGCAGGACAACCCCACTGGCGCATCGGCTATCGCTAATGAAGGCGCGTACAACCGCATTCCCTTTGCGCGTGTGCTGCAGCAGCGAGAGGATTTCATGTGGGAACTGCAGGAGCTCGAGAACACTAAGCAACCTACCCTCTCCGCGTCAGCCGCGCGTTCCGAAGGGGGGACGCCGCCGACGCCGCCGCGGTCCCCATCACGACCTGCTTCCTCATTGCTCGCGCAGCTGCGCACTCAGGCCATGTTGGATGGATCGCTGCCGCCCAGCGCGAAGCTCCTCCACGCACAGCAGCGCGACGCCGCAACAACGGCGCCTATGCCACGCTCTACCTTGAAATTTCCTCCCACGCACCACCAGAATCAGTTGCGATTGGATGTGGTTAACGCGGTGGCGACGTGGAGCGATGCAAATGGGGGGTTTTATTTGTGCCTTGGCTCTGAGGACGGTGGCGTGTACCTTCTCGGCGGCAATGTGGATGCCTGATGGAAGAACGCACGGTGCGGTACAGCACAGAGGAAAGCGCGTCGTGAGTGTTTAACACGTTGCTTTTGTGTTGTTGTTGTTTTTACCTCTGTTTATAATGATTAATATTCGAACGGACCTTTCTGTTGCTTCTTCTCCTTTTCTTTTTCTTCTCCCTGCCTTATAGTGGAAATGACGAGTGCTTTTGTGCGGCTGTTGTTATGTCGTCTCGACGTTGACGTCTCTCCACCTTGGCGTTATGCAGTGTGGACGGTGCTTTGCTGTTGCTTCTGTCTTCAACAGCTGTGCAGGCGCCCCGCAGCAACATCAAAACTCTTATCATTTATTATTAATATATATGTGTGGTTGTCTTTTGCACCCCTGTTCCTCTCCTCAATTTTCTCTCTTCCCCGTCTTTTGCAGTCATCGCTTTTACTTCTTGTATTTTCTCTCGTGATCTTTTTTGTTTTTGAAAGAAAACGCCTTTTTGTGGTTTGTTTGTTTGGTTGTTCTTGCTGGAGCCTGTTGTCGTTATCGTTGGTGATGTCAGGGAGGTCGTTGATTTCTTCTATCTCTCTCTCTCTCTTTCTTTCTTTCTTTTCATTGTCGATGCCGCCTTCCAAATATCCGAGTGCTTCATATCGGAGATAACGTGATGTTATGTATAAGAAAAGAAAAGGAGGACAAACTTCTAAGGACTGCGTCTCTGAGCAACGGGCAGTGCACATGGAACAATGCGCTTTGCGGTGGAGTATTCGCCTCGCACTTTCGAGATGTCGCCCTCAACAAACGAGTTACAGGAAGCACCTGGCTTATCGCTGTTGTGGTGGTTGGTTGGTTGCTACGGTGCATGGCGTGAAAGTACCATCCATGAAAGAGCTGTGTTACGCCCCTCCTGAAGACCTCACCCACTCCCCCTGTCGAGACTATCGAGGCATCCCTTTTATTATTATTATGTATGTTGTCAGCTGTAGAGGGAGCAAGTCGCTTCTGTTTGGCCACTCCGTGCATTTCTCTTCTTCTCTCAAAGGCACTCCAACTCTCAACCTTACTCAATCGTCTTCCCTTACTTCTGTTGTGGTGTCAACGAAACCGCGCCTGCGTTGTCACGTCGGCACCTTCAGCCTTTTTTTTTCTTTCATTAGTCCCCTTCGCCAGAGCCGTAAGCGTCTCCTCACACGCCCTCTCACGCACTCCCGCCCTCTCCGGCTACACACCGCACATCAACGGCATTGAATTATCGTTCCTTGTTTGCTTGTTTGCTGATCCCTTTAATAAAATACACCGTTTCTTCTTTCTTCGTACTTCTCAAAAAAAAAAGTAAAAACACATCAAAATCATACATCTTTACGCAATGTCGCCGGCGTCTCACCCCCTCCCCATGGCCGGCGATTACCTCGTCGCCACGTTTGCGGAGATGATGTACGCCGCACGCTTTCGCAAGCACGTGTGGGGTAAAATGCAGCTGGCAGAGCGGCGTCGTCTGGAAGCCCTGCGACTGCAGGCAGTCTACGGCGATGCCCCAGACAACCGCAGCAACAAAAACATCGCGAGTGCACCCGCCTCAGGGGAGAGCGGCAATCGAGAAGGAAACATCACAAGGTTGGACGACCAAGACAGCAGCAAAGGTGCATTGAAAGCTCCTTCGTCCCCCTCGCTGAATTCGTGTAAGCCTGCCAAGAGCTTGACGCCGACGCAGCCCACGCCGTCCCCGCCGCGGTGGTTCGACATTGCCGGTCGAGCACGGTACAGCGCGTGGGTCGCCCTTCGCGGTTGCATGTCGCCCGACGTCGCCGCCGAATGCTTCTGTGCAGAATTTCTGGCTCTGATTAAGAAGTACCCCCACCCGGCTCTCCTGCCACCGGTGGAAGCGGCACTCAGCACGGCGCACGGACTGGCCCAGCGAGCACGGAGCAACAACCGAAGAGTCCCTCGATTATTAGAAAGCCAGGCTGCATCCTCCACGTCAGCAGCAGCCCCGGTATTTCATGTCCGCGCGTTGCAAGGCGATCCAGCGGCGTTGGCCCTCCTGTGGATCTGCCGGGCCTACCGCATCACCTGTGAGTTTACAGTGGAGCCTCTCTCGAAGGCGATGGGCAGCTGCCCCATCATAGCCTCTACCGCCGCAGCAGCAGGTGCTGCTGCCTCTTCCTCTCCCCCATCATCTTCGTCTCCAACGACAGCCTCGCCTTCTGCTGCTGCCGCCGCCGCCGCTGCGGTGCCGGCAAATCCTTATCTGTCCTATACCATGGCAGACGCCTGCTATCCGTTCGCAGCATTTCTAGAGTACTCTACGAATGCGTCGACGCCGAGGGCGACGGGATGGACCACAAACGCAACCGCAACAGTCACCACGCCCGAGTCCGCCTTCGTGTTGCTCGCCGACACGTTTCTCTCTGCGTATCCGCATTGGATGGGGGTGCCCTCTGATCTACCGTCGTCGTCGTCGCCTGGGGTGCTACCTCAACGCTGTGGTTGGATCGATGAGCTGCAGCACATAACACGCCACCTCCGCACGCCTATTCTCGCCCTGCTCGTGCACCACGCCACATCATCATCATCCACGTCGACGTCTTCGAACGTGTTGTGGAAGTCACCGTGGCGGACGCAGCTGCTGCGTGCGGTGGCCGCACATTTGCATCGCTACGAGTCGTGGACAATTGGGCGCGTCATCAGCCGCCGCGTGGGTCAGGCGATGTCGGTGCTGTCGCCGCTGCTGGCCTCCACTGCCGTGACGGACGCCTTGCAGCACGCCTACGCCCCGGACGCGAAGGCTGTGACGGCGGCGGATGTGCTGGTGGCGAGCTGCGGCTATGTGCTATGCACGCACCCGTTTTGCGCGGATGTCTTCCCACACTTGCGTGTCCCGGTGAACCATGAAGCGGACGAGGGCGTGCGTAGTGAGTGGCCGTCAGACGCAGGGGCAGCAAAGACGACGGCGGCGAGATCAGAGGGCATCCACACCTACGCCCCATGGTCACTGCCACTTTATCTTTCTGGGATTCCTGCTGAGTACAACGAGAAGATCAATCGTCTGCTGCGGCGGGAGTCAACCGGGGCTACGCGGCACGAGCAGCAGCGGCAGCCGACACGTTTGTTCATCAACGACAACGACTCTGTCATCACAAAAGGCGTTGGTGCAGCCTCTACTCAGCAGCAGCAGCGGAGTGCGGGGTATTATGAGGTGAGCTCAGCGAGCGACGTGAAGGAAGCCGCAGAGGCCGTCGGCCAGCTCATCATATCTCGTCTTTTCTCCCTGCGCAGCGATGACCTGCAGCACGACGACGTCGCGGGCAGCAACAGCAGCGTCTCTGGCACGCCCTTCCTCGTGCTGGGCCACGTGTTCGCCCTCACGTGGGCGCTGGCGCAGGAGCAGGTGCCTGCGTTTCCCTTCTTCATGCTCGACGGCAACCCCGATCACTTTGGTGGCTTTTCCTTCCTGCCCGAAGGCGCGGCGGAGACCGGGAAGGTCACCCGTACGAGCAACAGCACTAGTGATAGTGGTGTTGCGTTGACGGAGGTGCGTACCCAACCGCGTTTTCAGCTCTCCCTCGCCCCTGCGGCCGTCACGTCCACCGCTGATCCGACCGCTGCGATGCTGCCGACTCTTGTCCCGGGATCGACACCTACTCCCTCGGCCACGAACCAGGACGGCGGCCTCAGTATCGAGTCGCGGCTGCGGAGTGGGATGCACGCTGCCGGTGCAACGCTCCTGAAAGGTGTTCGCCGTCTCTCCGGTGCATCGAGAGATGCAGACGCACAGGCGAGGAGCAATAGCGGTGTGCATGCCACGCACGTGTTGCGTAGTGAGGGCGAAGGAAGCACTCGCAGCATCAGTGGTAGTGCCGCGCCTGCAGTTGCACCAGTCGAAGCTGCACGTCTCTAGTGTGCAACTGGTGTATTCGGGCTCGTGTAGGTGTGTTTGTGATTTGCGAAGGTGAAGAAGCAAACATCATCTCTTTTCTGGTGTGCGTACGTTGTTCCTTTTGTTTTGCAGTGACGAGTATTCCTGAGAAAAAGCAAGCCGAGTTGGACCAGCATCAGCAAAGGCGAGAAACGCCGCCTCCGACCAAAGACGAACTTCTTTCATAGATTGAGTTCAGCCAAAGGCGGTTTTTGTAGCGCCGTCTGTGATCCGCTGCGCTGCCTTGTGGGTGTTTATGTATGCTGATGTACTTTATTCTTCCTCTTTAACCTTCACCTATCCTCTTCTCCGACTGATTGCTGCATTTTTATTCCCTGTTTCTACGTGTATGTGCCGCTCATGGGATGGTCCAGCATTCGCTGTCACGCCGTCGCTAAAGTGCACTGCGAATTGAATGAACATATAGCTGTTTTTCCATTTCCTTTTTCCTCTTCTGCTGAATCGGTTAGTTGGGTTCGTTGGGTTCGTTGACGTGATTGCTGCTGTTCTCTCTCCTACCATCTTTTCTCATTGTTGTTGCGCTTCACAGAAACTATTCTCGTCCACTGCAGCTTCTTTCTGTTGTTCTAGTTCTTGTCCTTGTCGGTTAAAAAATACGTATAATACATATTCACCATATTAACGATCGTGTTCCCTTGTCATCACTTCATCACCGCATCATTTTCTTCTTCCTTTTGGGGGAGTAGAACTTGTATTTAGCCTCGCACCGCCCCCTCGCTTTCTCTCTCTCCGTCCATGCAGCGCTCTGTCTGCTTCATCGCCAAGGCCACCGGCGTCGCGGCGGCGTGCCTGCTCGCCTACCACGGCCTCCAACTGTATTACAAAAACGACATCACCATCTACGTGACGGAGGTCGTGCATCTGCCGGAGATGACCGGGCGACGTCGCCGTCCGCAGACGGACTCAACCCTCACCTTAGCGATTGAAGGCAAAGTGGAGATGGAGACGTGCCTCATGAACAGCTATCGTTTTTTGTTGAAGCTAGCGGGGCATGTGCGGACAGCCTTTCCCGACTCCGGCAAGTCCTCGTCGTCCACGCGAAATCTACGTGGAACCCGACACCGTGTGCTCTCCCTCCAAGCAGGCGGCACCTACACCAGCTTCCGCGATGATGACTCGGCGAGTAATAGCAGCATCACGGGGGGTCGAAAGCACGGCCCTACCCTGCTGATCACCGCCGTCGACCCGGTCGTAGACGCCTACGAGGCGGAGAGCAGTGGCCTCCTCACCTTCACCCCTGCGTGTGTCGGCGACGGCCTGCTGTGTCGTTACTCCTGCGTCGTGGGCGGCGCCACGGGCGACGAGGTGAGCAGCAGCAGCGGCTCTCCCACAGCGCCGTTGTCCTCCGCACCTCGCCGGGTCTTGCAGGACGGCGATAGCGGCCTCGGCAGCATCTTCGTCCGTAGCTGCTTTCTAGAATCGGACGGCGAAACGGCGTACTGCCAGCGCCTCACGATGGAGTTGGAGTTTATGCAGCCCGTCTTCGGGGCGCGTGTTGTGATTCGGCTCCCCAGTAAGTACTGCCGAGTTCAGCGTGGGAGCACTGGTGGGGTGGGCACGGTAACCCAGCTCCTGCACCAACCACGGAAGTGGGTCTGGGACATCGGCGAAGTGACGGAGGCGATGTGTGGCGTTCCTGCAGTTGACGGCGCCGTCGGTGGGGCGGGGGCGGTGGCTTCTGTGGAGGAGCTCATGCCCGGCGCCATAGTGCCTGCCGTGGACACCGCCAGTGCCCGGCTGGAGCTCGTCTTTGAGCAGCCACCGCCCGGGATTTCCTTCGGAGAGGAAGACGACGCCGACCCGAGCGACGACAGCGACGACGAGCAGGACGATGAAAATCGGTTTAGCAGCCCCGTCAGCAGCGTCAAGTCCGGCTCCGCGAAGCGCCGCACGCGGTCGACAGCGAAGACGGCGCGCTGGTTGGGTGGCTCCTCCGGCAGCTCGCCTTCCTCCCCGGCCGCCGGTACAAAGCTGTCCGGCCGTGCCCGCAAGCGACAAGAGCGGGCGCGTCTTCGGGAAGGCAGCAGCAGCGCCGAGGTGCGCTCCCGCGGGGGCACCAGCAACGACGACGTGCCGTACGTTGAGGTCGTCTTCAGCGTCAATGAGCTCCTCTCTGGCACGGCGGTGAAGAAGCTGCAGGTGCTGCAGGAAGCTCCCAACTGGACGCCGCGCAGTCGCCTCGACCGCCTCCTTCTCCGGCGCCTTATCCCGAGTTTAGAAACGATGAAACTGAGAAAGCTGGCACACTACACGACGTGGATCGTTCAGCCCGTGGTGCTCTCGCAGTTGTGAGGCGTGCGGCGGATGAAAACCGTTAGTTTTTGTTTCTGCACACGGCAGCAGCAATTGATGCTGCGTGAACGTCAACAGACGTGCAAGTCTGACGGACTCCCTGTAACTCCTTCACATAATTAGATGCAGTTTAGACGGGTTGTTGCTACGTGTTGGTTTTTCGCTTCGTTTGTCCCTACGTTGGAGAGGAAGATAGAGCGGGGGGAAGTGCCGAGTGCTTCTAGACCTCCTGTGACGGCGGTTGCATAGCGCTCGCTGATCTTCCTCCCTCCCTCTCGTCTTTTGTTTCCTTTTTATGGTTCAGCGCCGTTTTGTTGTTGTTGATGTTCTCTCTTCACTATATACATATTATTAATTGTTATATATATTAAGGATGGAAGTTTGAATGATCGTTGGTTGCGCTTCTACGGTCTTGTTCCCCCTCTCTGTGTTCTTTTCGCTGTGGCTCTGCAGGGTGCCAGGAGCTTAAGCTGCAAAAGGCCCCTTCCAACTCTCCCCGCATCAGAGAGGAAACGGGAAGTTAACGCCGATTTCTTGTGCGCTGGTGTGTGTGTGTGTGTGTGTGTGCGTGTGTGTGTGTGTTGGCTCGTGCGTCAGACCCACTCTATAAATGTAGTGTTCTCTCTTCCTTTGCTTCTGCCCCTCTTCCAATAGTAGCCTCGCTTCTCGCCGCCTTCCCTTCCTTCTTTCCACAACGCAAACTGCCGCACGTGCTTTTCCACTTTCGAAGAATTTCGCCCGTGCATTGCAGCCCTCACGCACGCGCACACGTTCTCTTCTTTGGAGGGGGTCGCTGCAGAGTAAACCGATGTTTTAGAGCTGGCCGAAGCGTGCGAAAAGTGTCTTGTGGCCTTCTAACAGTTTCTCTTTTTGACTTAAGAAGCAAAAAAGATCCGTAAGACTGCGCAAGAACTTTCCGTTACTTAGCTAAGTCACCAGCGTTCACGGAAACCACGTTCATCCCATTGCCGACACGTGTGTGTGTGTGTTTGTGTTTGTGTTTGTGTTTGTGGTCTGTGCAGTTGCGGACACGGCGAATCACGATGGCTACCCACCAAAGCGATCACAACAACGATGCCAGCAACAGCGACGACGAGGAGGAGGACTTCGGACCTGTGTTGCCGGGCATGCAACTCTACGCACCGCCAACTCAAGCGTCGCCTACAACGTTCCTCGACAACGGTAATCACAATGATGTGCCTCCGGTGAAGCGCCGAAGGAACGAAGAGCAGGCAGACGAGGGCAGCGCTACACATCCAGCTGCTTCTCTACCTCCATCTTCTTCTTCGGAGCCCTTTTCCACGTTGACATCGGAGCAAATGACGACCGCGCCGGACACAACGATCGTCGGTGTCAATGCGGAAACGGAGTGGAAAGAAGCGTGGGAGCGCTACACACGCCAGCACCTGCCTCGTGCCGCACTGTACGAGCGTAGTTTCCAACACACCTCTTTGCAAGACACCTACGACGCGCTATCAGCCAAGGCAGATGGTGCAGAGTTGCCCGCGGCGGCAGTACAAGCATCACCGGTGCATGATGTCTGTGTGCACTGCGACGCGCTCGGTGCGCTGATTGCGACGATAGACGCCGCAGGGGTGGTACGGGTGTGGCGCAAGCTGCCTCGCGGTGTCTTCTTCATTACAGAGCTCGACAAGGTGTTTTCAAAGGCGCGGAAGGCCGCTTCGAGCCACAAAGACCACCATCTTCAGGCTGGAAGAGGAGAGGTAGAAGAAGGAAGGGAAGAAACTCTTGGTGCCCGTCGGCATCACCGTACCTATTGGGCTCACGCCTATCCCACCCTGCAGCTCCTCGTGTTCGTGTGCGTCGAAGAAGAAACAATAGAGGCAGGCGACCTACTTCACGGCATCGACACAAATGAGGTGTCAACGCTGCGGCCGTCGTCGACGTCGCCACGTACAGTGCGGGTGCACCTCCGTCAAGTGAACCCGGTCACCTTCACGGTGGAGGAGCGGCACACGTTTGCCTTTCAGGCACCGGTGCAGCCGATGGCGATGCTACACATCACAGCAGCCATGCGGGACTCTACGCTGCCCTGCGGACTCGCCTATACCCGCCGCCCCGCCTTTCTCACGTACCAGTACGCACCTCACATCGCCTTTTTCGTGTCGCTGCCCGCCGCTGCCTCGGCTCGGGGAAGTAGTGGAGGGAGTGGCGTAGTGATGTGTCCTTGCTTTCCCACCTCGCAGGCCGCCAAGCGTTCTGCCAGCTCTGGTAATGTGGATGGTGGGACGGCAGTCGTGATGTACGCTGCCGCACGCGTGAGTGCTGCGAGTCCTGTTGTACAGTGCGTCCAGCTGACGTCTGGAATTGAGCGCACCGGCACGGCGCCGTGTGTCCTCATCGACGCCAGTGGGGTCATTGACTACTGCACAATTGAAGCGGCAACGGACAACAGCGGCGGCGGGGCATCCGCTTCCTCTGGATTGTGCCTGAAGGTGATGGCGGGCCTTGCGGCGGTGCCGGCTGCATCGCGGGAGGCGCGGGTGTGGCGTCAGTGGATTCGCTTCGATCGTCGTCAGCGCACGGGTTTCTTTAGCCTCGTACGAGACACCCAGCAGGCGCTGAAGCAGCAGCCGCAGCAACAAGAGGAAAAAGCCACCGCGACATCTTGTACAGTCGCACCCTCACCTGCAGACGTGCAGCTCCTTCCAGGTGCACTTCAGCTCACACCGGATGGCAAGTACGTGGTGGTGTGGAGCATTCGGTTGATGCGAAAGGAAATCACGGCGGTGGCGGCGCGTCACTCACGCATTCCGCCGACGCAGCGCAGCTATCACGTAACGGCAGAGTCGTGCCTGCACATCTTAGAGTTTTCAACTGGTGGGTGCGTCGGCAAGCACTTCGAGGCCCTTGAGAACGATACCGCTGCGGTGACCTCCGTCGAGGACATCAGCTTCCGGGCTTCAGAGTGGGCCGACTACGTACACCTGCGCAGCCGCAGCCTGGCCATGCAGATCCACGTGGAGGACGGCGCCGGCGCATCGTCAGCAAAAGCGCGGTACTACGTCATGGTGCCAGAGGTGTCGTGTACGCAACTGTTGAGTGGGCGGAGTTGCATTCCACTTCCTAGCGGTGACGCGGATGTTGGACCGACGCGGGTTTGTGGCCGGCCGATTTACGTCTACGAAGTGACGATGCAAGAGGGCTATTCTGCTTCCACCGCGGTGGCGGCGGTCGTGCGGCGACTGTCGCACAGCCCCGGAGAGCTGGAGTCGTTGGTGCGCCAGGGCAGCGATCTCGCCTGGAAGGGAGGTCTCGAGCAGGACGAAGCTGCAATGCCATGGTCGCCTCCGACTGCCTTCCACTTCTCTTTAACGTCTTTTGCAGGCGAGATCCAGCGTTTGGAGACTCAGCGTGACCTGCACAGGAGCGGTAGCACGGCTGGTGAAGCACCCCACGCCCTGTGCCGCGCGCCGCTGCTTCTCCTCCGCCGTGCCGTGGCACCTTCACAAGACCTGAAGAATCTAATTGCCGCCTCTCCTCTGGGTGCTGCGCTCGGTGCGGAGGGTCGGAAACAACTCCTCGCCGCCAACACCACAACTGCCACGGTGGAAGGGCTTCTGCTGACGACAAGCGTGGAGGCGGGCACGACGTCCCTGTTGGTGTACTCCGGTGAGGTGCCGGGTAGTGGTTTAGCCGTGCAGCGCTTCCTGACTGCGCCGGCGCGAGCTCCGATTACACTCGCCAGCGAAGCGAACACCCGCGAACTGCCTCACGAGAAAGGAGAAGCTAGTGCGGAGCAGCAGCAGCAACGGCAGCAACTGTGGGCGAAGTTGTGCGAGGAGCTGCACCGCGAGCGCGACTACGCGTGTGGGGCCCTTCTCATGGCCACGGTAAGCCCTCCGCCTGGTAACACCGCCGCTGCAGGTGGTGCGGCTACGGCATGTGTTCCACCGCCAATATCCACGAATGACGCGACCGAGTCAGAGCACAAGGAAGAGGGCGTGGAGCCGGCTTCCACCGCCGCGAATCACGTGCAGCCCGGCTCACCAGAGGCGCACGTGGTGGAGTTGCTAAAGGATGTCGTCCCGCAGCTGAGCACCGCGGCGACAACAAAGCTGCCCGTTGCGCTGGTGCACGTGCGAGGCTACGGCACCGTTCGCGTGCACCTCCTCCCCCACATCGCCCCGCTCGCCTCCGAGAACTTCGTTCGGCTAAGCCGACAGCGCAAGTACGACCGCCTCACCTTTCACCGCGTCATTCCGAATGCAATAGTGCAGGGCGGGTGTCCGCGAGGGGACGGCACCGGTGGAGAAAGCGCCTTTGACGGCGGCGCGCCTTTCCAGGATGAGGCTCTCCATGTGTTTCCCTTCTTCTCCCACACGATGGAGAAGGATTGTTGCTGGCTGTGTATGGCCAACGCCGGCCCAAACACAAACGCGTCGCAGTTCTTCTTTACGGTGCCGGGTGGGGAGGCGATGCCGTGGCTGAACGGCCATCACACCGTCTTCGGGTTTGCGGTGGAGGGGCTGGATGTGGTGCGGGCCATCAGTCTGGCCGCGCGAGACGAGGCGGACGCGCCGCTGTCGTCGATCATCATTGAACGAGTGGACGTTCTCTCCGGCTAAAAGAAGAAGAGAAGAAATGCGGAAGGAGCTCTTCTTTTCTTCTTTCATGTTTCGGAGGTATTCCTTCTTAAAACGAAACTGCTAAGCCTTTTGAGCCGTCGACGCTGTGTGCGTTGTCCTTCACACCGAATTAAAAGAAAGAAAAGGAGCATCACATGTGTTGCAATGATCGTTTTGTTTGTTTCTTTCTCTTGTCACTCAGTTTTGTTATTGCGTTGCAGACGCTCGTTGTAGAGGAGTTCATGTTGAGCTGCCTTTCTTTTCTTAACCTGCTCATCCTCTATGCCTACTATCATTGTCATTGTTATCCCCCTCCCCTCCCCCTTTATTCTTCTGAAACCCAAACTGAGCACCGAGTGAACTCAGATGTGCTCGCCTTACTCCTCTACACTAACACACATATAATACTACTATTCGTATTTGCTCTTGCCACCCTTTTTACTGTGTTTCGCTGCACAGCGTTGCTGTATCGTTCAATTGCAAGCGAACACGAACCCCCTTTTTCGCCCTCCAAGTTTTCGAAACAAGTGTCTCGCTGCCGCTCTAGCACCACCAGCAGCTATGTCTACTAGGAAGCGTCAGCTGCTGAAGATTATCATCCTCGGTGACAGCGGCGTCGGCAAGACGTCGTTGATGCACCAGTACGTGAGCCACCGCTTCGACAGCCGTTACAAGGCCACCATCGGCGCGGACTTCCTCACGAAAGATGTGGAGATCAACGGGCGCGTGGTGACTCTGCAAATCTGGGACACCGCCGGCCAAGAGCGCTTTCAGTCCCTCGGCTCCGCCTTCTACCGCGGTGCAGACGCGTGCATTTTGGTCTTCGACGTGACCCAGCAGGAGTCCTTTGCGCACGTCGGGTCGTGGTTGGAGGAGTTCAGCATTCAGGCCGGGCGTCGCGACAGCGTACTGGTGGGCAACAAAACCGACCTCGAAGACCGCCGCCAGGTGGCGAGCAAGACGGCGCAGGCGTGGTGTGCGAAGCAGAACGCGGAGGCCTCCAGCAACAACGACACCACCGGCTTCGAGGCGGGTGAGGGGGCAACGCCGCAGATCAAGTATTTCGAGTCGTCGGCGAAGGAGAGCGCCGGGGTGGAGGAGGCGTTTGTCGCGGTGGCGCAGCTGGCCTTGGCGAAGAAGGCGACAGTGGAAGACGCCGCACCGATGCCGCAGACAGTGAACTTGACCCAGCCACAGACCGAGCCGGCAGCCAGCTCTTCTGCATGCAGCTGTTAAGAAGAAGAAGAGCCACAGAGAACTCTTAGAGTGAAGTATTTTTGTTTGTTTGCTTTCCTGCGCTGCCCTCCGCGGCGGACCTGCATTTCGTTATCACGGCGTTGCCTGATCGTGCTTCGGTGTTGACTGTAGGTCATTTCGTCGTTCTTGCTGCCTTGTTTCTGCCAACATATACACACACGTTTGTCTATTATTGTTGTTTTCGCGCGTGTGTGTGTTCTCTTTCTATTCCTTATATATTTATATTTTTGTGTGGTGTTGCTGACGTTTGCAGAAGAAGGCAGTCAGTCACGAATTGAGTCGTCCTTTTTTTCTTCTTCCTCTTCTCTTGAGAGGGCGTTTTCATCGAGAAGTGTGTGTTTGTCGGTCGGCTCATTGATGCGCATACCCAAGCACACACACACGCGTGTATATATCAGTTATCCTCCCGTCACCAGTGGAGCGCACCTTCCCTGCGTCGCTCCGTCCTGTCTTTGAAAGAATACATGCAAGACACCTCGAAGACAAAAAGGGGTCTTTTCCCCTCTGTTCCCTTACCTCCCCCCCCCTCCCCCTCCTTCTCTCTCGACTCATGTCTGTGTGGTCAACATTCTACTGTTGTGTCTTTGAGGTGTATTGCTCTGTTTTTGTGGAACGTCTGCTTGAGTTTCGCTCTTTTAAGAAAGCAAATAAAAACTACCGTGTGTCTCTGTGTCTCTCGCTGTTTGTGTTTGGGGTTGGGTGGGTGAGTGCGCAGGGGAATGCGAAACGCATATTATTTTTGTTATTGTTTCTTCCTTGCCATCCCGCCGCCGTTGTCCAAAAGAAAAAGTGAAAAGCCGTAGCAGATATCGGAAAGAGAACAGCAGAGCCGCATTTTTTTTCCTGCCTTCACCTTTTCGCATACCTCCCTCATTCTTGAGTGTTGTGTTGCTCTCTACTTCTCCTGCGCATGCAGAGCTTAGCGCGGCGGTGAGGCAGTCTTGTGCTCTTCTTCTCCATTTGGTGGTGTTGGCCATGGGAGGCGAGCCTGCTCTGTCACAGCAGCTTCCCGACACTCCACGTGTAAAAGCGTGTGAGCGAACTTAAGCCGTTTCGCTTGCCAGACTCTGAAGGTCTGTGTCGCATGATCTTCCTCTTCCTTTCTCTTTTCTGTTTTTTTCTTTTCACTTCTTCCCCGCTCCTCTTCTTCCTGTTCATCTTCGAAACGCTCATCAACATCAAACCGGTTTTTTGCTGCACACCTCATGTATTCTTGTTGTTGCCGCTGCTGAGTTTTCTTCTTCAAAATAAAAAGCAAAGTGCAACAACGCAAAGAAAGGACTCTCCTTTTTGCTTATATACGCAACCAAGACAAGACAGGGCGGATAACAGAATCCCATACCTCTGCCGGCCATCCTTTGCCACCTTTTTGCGACAACTTAGACTAAATAAACGCATCAAAATAGAGGATAATAATAGTGTTCGTGGAGAAGCAGTCTTTGACTAGCATTGCAAAGAACTGCATCCGTTGTGCTGTAGCAATCAGCCTTTTTCTTCTTCTCTTCTTTTGGTTTTCTCGGTCTGCTTTTGGGTGCTTGCATAGCCCTTATGGAAAACTGCCGAAGGAGCGCGGCCATCAGCTGAAAGTCGCACAAACGTTTAACTTTTCAAAAATACAAATCCTTTTTTTTTTCTTCTTCTCTCCTGACGTGTCTGGGTGGAATTGCTGGTGCAATTGTGCTTCATGTAGCAGCGAGATTCGTTATCGCCTACCAACCTCATTTTCTGGTGTTCTTTTATGGTGTATGGGTGTGTGTGTGTGTGTGTAAGTGATAACGCTGCGGGCAGAGTTCATCTATAAACCCGCTCTACGCCGTTGTCTTCGCACGAACTCTTCTTTCTAAATTGTGTACTGTTTTTTGTTTCTCTATCTGTGTCTGTGTCATTTACGCCTTGCACTCCTCAACTCCATTGCTATTTAAATATATATATATTCGCTGATATACCCTTTCCCTTGCAGAGCCTTTTCTGTTGTGCGGGGTGCGTGGCGCGCCTGTTTTTGTTTGTTGCGGTTCGTTGTTGGCTCGTCAGCCAGGAGGAAGTGAGATATATTTTTTTTCAACCTCAAAAAGGAAGGAGGAAACGAATAATGTTCCAATATGAAGATTTAATGTGGCTGATCAGCTTCCCGCTGGTGTGTGCCGTCATGCTGTGGTTCTCCCTCGATCTCGCGGTGCTCGTGCGCGTGGGCGGCGGCCGTCGTCGTCGCAGCAACGCCCGTCGCGCGATTGAGCGTTTGATCATGAGCAGCCCGGTGTGCGCCCCAACGTCGGTCGAGTCGTCACGCTCGTCACCAGCGACGCCGACTGGCGCATCAACCGAGCCCGTAGCACAACGCGGCAGCGCGGCAGCTTCTCTGCCGGAGCGAGAGGCGAGCAACAACAATAACAGTAGTAGCAGCGCAGAAGGTGAGTATTCAACGCGGCAGAACGCGACAACACTCCCTTCTTCCTCCTCCACCCCATACGCGCATCGACAGCCGCAGCGCTATCAGAAAGTGCGACTCGTGACTGTGCCAGCAGCGCTGCGTATCGCAACTCGTGCTGTGGTGCGCCGCGCCGTTGTTATGGTGGGCGGCGACTTCGCTCGATCACCGCGCATGCAGTACCACGCCGCCAGCCTGGCCCGCAGCGGCCTCTTTGACGAAGTTTTGCTTGTCGGGTTAGACTGTGGCAATCAGCTGAGCGAAGACCTGCTGATGAGCGGCGAGCCGCAGCCGGAGCGCTTCGTGACCCGTGAGGGGACAACGAAGAACGGCATGGAGCACGCCGTCTACGATGTACAGGCGCGAGTCTGCTCACCTGCGGTCCACGCCGGCCACGGCTGTATCATCTCCACGCGCTACCTAACGCGTCCGCCGTCGCCGCCCGAGTGGTTCCAGGCGGTCTTTCCATTGCGCTCTCTGCACTGGGCTGTGTGCACCCTCTACCGGTTTGTGGCACTCACGCTGCTGTTTGGCGTGCAGATGGCACGGGTGACCGCGATGCGCATCAGCGGGCACGGCCAACTGTTCGTGACGGACCTCATCATGATTCAAACCCCGCCAGCCGTTCCCTTTGTGCCGTTGGTGAAGTACGTGGTCTGCCCCTTTGCGTTTCTGTACAACATGTTGCTGTACTACGGTGTGGTGGTGCCGGCTGCGTGGATGCACCCGGATGCGATGCGTGATATGCGGCGCGAGTGCCGGCTGCAGTCACATCGTTTTCGCGCACAAGCAGAGGAAACCCACGTCGACGGTGCGGATGATGCTGGTCGGGGAGCAGAGCCCCGCGCTGTGGTGCCCCGGCCCTCGCGCATTCGGCCGTGGGTCTTCTACCCCGCTATTGTGGTGGACTGGCACAATTACGGCTACACGATCCTGGAGCAGAACGGGCGACCCACCGCGGCGGTAGAGCTGTACAAGCTGTTCGAAGTGCACCTCTGCGCCGGCGACGTGAACGTGACGGTGAGTCGAGCCATGCGGCATTCTCTTGAGTGCTTCTACCCCTGGCTGAAGTCCCGGGCAGCTGCGGCGTCTCCGCTATCCTCGCTTGCGGCTCGGTCTTACCAATTTGTCAGGGGAAAGCCGCACAAGGCAGCAGTGGAGAGCACAACCACAGCAGCAGCAGCAGCATCGTTGTCATCGTCATCGTCATTGTCGTTATCAACGAGTGCGGTGACGGTGCTCTATGACGTCGCCCCGTCCTTCTTCCGGCCAGTCTCACGTCGACGCTGCGTCCGCGACGTGCTCGATCGGCTGTTGCGGCGCCACGCTACCTCTCCCAGCACCCCTGCGGCTGCCAGCAGCAGCAACAACGGCACGAGTGCAGTGGCTGCCGGGTCCTACACGTTGGTGAGTGCATCGGAGTTGGAAAACATGGGCTGGGGCATCGCAGGGCCGCCGCCGTGGGTGTACGCGGAGGCGGCAGCGGAATCGCCATCTTCGTCGCATGAATCACCCTCTTCACCGTTGTCGCCGTCTGCCGTTTTCGGCCCGTCCACTGCCGGTGCTGCTGCCCCTCGCAAAGGAATTGTTATGGTCGGCTCGACGAGTTGGACCGAGGAAGACGACTACTCCGTGCTCATCCGCGCCCTTCGACGACTGGATCACCGCCTGAACCACGCCGTAGGCACCTACTGCAGCACCAACGGCAACAGTACCAATGGCAGCAGCAGCTTTGCTCAGTGCAACGCGGCCCCGCTGGACTTGTGGGTGCTGATCACCGGCAAAGGCCCCGCAAGGAGGCGGTTTGAAGAGGCGGTTCGAGCAGCGAAGCTGTCGGCGCACGTCGTGGTGAGCACCTACTACGCCCAGTCGTATAAAGAGTACAGCGTGCTTGTGGGCGCCGCGGATGTGGGCTTCTGCCTGCATCTCTCTTCCAGCGGCCTGGACTTACCCATGAAGGGGGTAGACATGGTCGGCGCGGGTTTGCCGGTGATTGCACTACAGTACCCCGCGATAGAGGAGCTCATGGGTGGCGTCACACGGGTTCTGGTGCAGACACGCGCGGCTGGCAGTAGCAGCAGTGCGGCCCGCCACGGCGTGAGCGTGCCCGCCGCGTTGGTTGAGTGCGAGCGGGGGTGGGTATTCCGCGGCGACGTCGATTTGGAGGCGCTGCTCTCCAGCTTTGTAGGGCTTCCGGGTGGTGAGAGAACAGGAAGTTTGATGGACGGGGGCGGGGGCCGCGGCGGCAGCGACTCGGTGGCCTTGACGCCAACTCCTCTAAGTGTCATGAAGCGTAAGGCGTTGGAGGCTCGTCTGCACGCTCCCACGTGGGCTGACAACTGGACACGGGTGCTTCTGCCGGTGCTGCAGCAGGTGGTGTGAGTGGTGTGAGAGGGGGAGAGGGAGGGAGGCGGGATGGCGCACACGCAGTAAAGAACCGCACACACACACACATGCAAGCGAGAAAAGGCAAAAGGCACCGGAGAGAATGGTTGACGCCACGCTGTACTTCTTCTTCTATGTTTTTTTTTCTAATGCTGCCGAGGCGCCACCATCGCCTACCGAGGCGCTTCAACTTCTTTGCCCATGAGCGTTGCAGCCGCGGATCCGTCTCGTTGCATACAGCATAGTGCGACGGTGACGGTGATGACTTTTTGCCCACATGCAAATCTACTAACGCATGTCGAGAGAAAAGAAAGTACATTTTGAGAAGGAGGGAGTAAAACTGTCTTCGGCGCTTCATAGACGAGGTCTGTGCCCACCACTCGTTCCAAAAGAAATCACTCGCGATCGGTGTTTGTCTTCGCTAACGGGCAGCACTCACTCATAGAGGTCGTCGCGGCGTCTGCTCTTTTCTTCTTTCTTTTTCTTTTTGTTTGTTTCACTGTAGATGTGAGAAAACGAACAGCCAGGACTTCTGTCTCAAATGGTGTTGTCAGCGCAGTGGCAACAGTGCTGTTGTTTGCGGTAATACGCCGTTTTACCGACTCTTCTCTCTTCTCTCCTTTGCTCTCTTCCCTTCTTCTTCTCTGCACGCACACAATCCTCTCCAAAGGAAACGGTGTCCAACGCCACGAGCGGATTCTTCGGTGCGGTCGCTGCCCTGACGCAGGGTTTTTTCTTTCTTTCTTTTTGCTTTTTGCAGTCCAGAACGACAAGAGCGAAGGCAGTATGCCACCTCCTTGCCGCTTACGTGTGTTTCAGTCAGGGTGTTCGGCAGCCTCACTGCCGCTCCTCCATTCCTCTTTACCACGTCTCAGCCAGCTGCAGCCGCTGCGGCATTCGACTCGTCTCCTTTCCTCCTCAAAGGCAACGTGCCGGTCTGTTCTATTAGCCCCTGCGTCCCCGCCTCCCACCGCGTTTGCGTCGACCCACGCCTCCCGCAGCTGGGATCCGTCCCCTGACGATCCTGCAAGACAACGAGCGAAATCGTCGCCGCAGAGCCCACGTTGTGTGTCCAACGCCGAGCGCGAACTGAACGATGGCGTTCCGCGCGGTTCTTCGCCCACCTGCAGCACGGCCCCTGCGATGTCGCACCCCTACTCCGCTCGCGCCTACCGCGTCCGCCTTCAACACGGCAACTTCTCATCTCTGCGAGAGCTGACACGCGCGCCCTACGCCCCCAGTCCTCTTAACGTGCTCGTCGATCTGCTTCGCCTCTCCGTTGTGCCGCCTGCCAATGCAGAAGGCTCAGCGTCATCTTCGAAGGCAGGCGTTCACCACGCCTTGGAGCGTGCGTTGGATGTGCAGTGGGTGTTGCATGCGACCATGGCAGAGGCACGAGACACCGTTTTGGCGGCCGAGACCGTCGGCGATGCCGCGAGCCACGCCGCCTTGCAGGAACTGTGGAGCCAAGTGGATTTCTTCTCGAATGCCATTGAAGACGGTGTGCGCGGGGCGCCGGGTGATGCACCGGGTCTTGCGGCAGACACCGACACCACCTTTGCCTTCCCTCTCCTTGATGGCGACGAACCGCCCCAGCAAGGTGCGCATGGCAAGTATGGGAGTGAAGCCAATTCTCCCTCAACGGCTGAAGGAGAAGCAGCGGACACGACGCCGACGAGGTGGGTGTTGCCCACCGCGACATACGCCATCCTGCTCCGTGGTGTTCTGCAGCTTGCCGCGATCACCGGGGCCCATCTGCACGCCTTCAGCGCTTTGAATGAGCTGATCGCGTTGCACGAACGTCGACAACGCAGCCTGTCAATTCATCCTGCGGAGGCAGAAGGGGAAGTGGACGACAGCTTTAGCATGGACGACGCTCTCGCGCTGGTGGACGCGGCGGCGCAGCGCCACGTCGACCCCCTCACCGCACAAGACCACCTCTATGCGATGGAAGCCTGCGCCCACGAGCGCCACCGAGACTTCCGCACCACCCTCAGTCTCTACCGCCGCTTCGTGCAGCACGTGACGGCGGGGTGGTTTGCCGCAACACCGGCGGACTTCACGGCGGCCCTCGTCGCTGTCGCGCACAGCAGCCGCACAACGACGGAGTTTACGGAGCTGCGTGCACTGTTGGTGGAGAGTGAGGCCGCCGCCGCGGTGCCGGTCAGCGTGCCCCTCTACACGGCTCTCATTGACGCTGCCAGCCGTGCCGCGGAGGAGCCACAGCGCATGTCTATCGCCCTTTCCCTCTACCGCCGGCTGCGGGATGGGGCTCTCACCCCCACTTCTGACACGTACGCTGCCCTCATCGCGTGCTGCGCCTCCACCCGAGCGCCGACCCAGGCCTTCGCCTTCTACCACGAGGCGCGGCAGGTGTGCGGCGTGGCGAACTTCACGCCGCGCGTGTACACGAACCTGTTGTTGTCCTACTCCACCGCCGGTTACGGCGCAGACGCGCGCAAGACGCTGGACGTGCTCGTGGAGGCCGGCGCCCCGCTATCGCGTGCCAGCTTCCACGCCGTGCTCGCCAGCGCCGTGACGGTGCGTGAGGCGCAAGAGATAATGGAGCTCATGACGCAGCGCTACGACATCACGCCCACGCCGCACACCTACGCCTATGTGATGCAGGCGGTGGCGAAGGCCCCGGCAGGGTCGCGCACCGCGTTGCAGCTTTTTGACGTGCACGAGGACGCGCTGCGGGCCCTGGCGCGTCTCTCCGCCTCCGTGGATAGAGAGGGCGGCGGCCATAGCAGTTTTGAAGGGATAGGCGAAGCGTTCGCCCTGAGCACCTCCGCGGACGGCGTGGCATTGGAGCCGACGCTGCTCGCGCAGTACCCTTTGTACGTGCGCGCGCTCGAGCACGCCCTGCTGCGCCTGCGCGTCGACCCGACGCAGGACCCGCGGCTGAAGGCGTACCTCACCCCTCTTGTCCGCGTGGCCCAGCAGCGCATGAACGCCTTCACCGGCATGCCACCGCAAGCCCCCATCCGCGTGCCGGAGAAGGAGCGGCTCTGCATTGCTGTTCTCGCTGCCGATGTGCTCGCCAACGTGGATGAATGGGTCATGCCGTTTATGTCGCACTACTCCGTGCTCGTCATCCCCTACTCGGCGGTGCTGGCGCTGCAGAAAGGCGGGGGGCGTCGTGTGGAGGGCGCGATGGCGAAGGGGCCTTCCGCGGGTCTGTTCGACCCGGTGTGGCGGGAGACCCCCGGCGGGGGGGAGCACGACGCCCTCGTCGAGCACCGCAGACGTCGTCTCCTGCGCTTTCTCGCAGATCACCGCGACGTGGTGCACTTGGTGTCCCTGGAGGAGGAACTCGCGTGGAGTCGTGAAACGCGGCGGTACGGAGTTGGCATTACCGACCTGTTTGCCCGCGCCGCTGCTGTGGCTCTTCACCTCGCCCGTCTGCCAGAAGAAGATGGCACATCGATGACGTCACCCGACACGAGTAGCGTGTACGCGCGCCATCCCGCCGCATCGATTGTGCTGGTGTCCGCCAACTACGAAAAGTGTGGAAAGTACGTGGTGGCGTTGAAGCAAGCGAAGGGCGGCGACGGCTCTACGGCTGGGCTGCAAGCTGCGCTGCGGCGTGTGTCCTACCACAACCCGCGTACGAATCCAAACTGGGTGCCGCCGAGCCTCTCCATCACACATCAACAGCAGCAACGGCAAAAGGCACGCGGCGACGTAACGAAGAAGCAAGCAGAGGCGCCAACGACAGCGGACGTCGCGAAGGATGTAGCCGCTGAAGCGGTGGCCGTGCGCGCGGATGCTGCGGCGGAACTGTACCAGAGTCTTCTCGATCCCGTAAAGTCCACCCACCATCCGATGATGGGCACTGACGCTGGTGTGAGCATCGAGGACGGCACCTCCGGTGACGAACACACAAGATCGCACGATACGGCGCTTTCCGCTTCGTCACGAGGCAGCGCGGCGAAACGGAGAGGAGCGGAAGAGGAAGGGGCGATGGATGCCGCGCTTCTCATGTCTCTCCTGAACGACTAACAGTCGACTTTCATCCTCCCTTTTTTTTTGAGGATGTTACGCAGCGGCAACAACGGCACTTCGTGGGATCATGCGACGTACTCATGTCCTTTTTCTTCGGGACCAGCTTATTCACATAAATCGTTCGTTAAATAATAGCAAGGAGAGAGAGAAGAAGGCGGTGGCGTTTCGAGGTGAACTCCGCAAGCTTCTAAAGCCCTCTGGAGCTCCTAATGGTGTTGTGTTCTGCGTAGTGAATAGACGTGATGAAAGAGGAGCGCTCTTCCACTCGGCTTCGCATATGGAGGATTCTCAAAGCGGGGAATGGGAGAAAGAGAGAGAAACAACAAGAGCTGTGTTGTATGCGTTTTCTCCGCTAATATCTCCACCCACCACCTACCTCCTTCCCTCCCCGCCTCTCAGTCCACTTGAAGTGCCGACCCCATTCCTCCTTCTTCATCATCTGTCGTTTGCCTCTTCATTTTTCATTCTACGCTGGCATCGTTGTTGGTATTTCATTGCGCGAAAAGCCATTACAACCCCCCATATAAGAGAGGTTTGAACACCCTCTTTGCAAGCACCGGCACGTTCGGCGCACACGTTTGCGACGTGCAAGAGAAAGAGGACGACCACAGGCTCCTTGGTATCCCCCCGCCCCCAACAGCACCTTATTATGGTCTCCCTACGATGTCTCTCTTCCAGCTTTAGAGAGGCAGATGATGGACGCGGCGCGTCGTCAACGCTTCAGCTGACGGCACTCACGTTCAGCACCGACGGGACGCATGCAGCTTACGTCGTTCGTCGCCGCCCCGCTCTCCCCCGCGACGGCGCCGCGGACCCCGCTCATTGCATCTTTATCGCAAGAACTCAGGATTTAAATGCGAGTGTGCCGACCGCAGGAGCGAGCGCAAGCAGCGTTCGCCCCTTTTCTGATTGGGTTGTCACCCAAGTCATCCAAGGCGTGCACACCGCCCCCATCACGGCACTGTCGTGGAGCAGCAGTGCTGGCGGTGCGCTGGTGTCCGGCGATGCCGATCGATGCGTGTACGTTTGGAGCCGACAAGACACGGGTGACAACGAGAGGAACGCATCGGCATCGTCCTCGTCTTGCCATGACGCACGACTTTTCAATGCGGTGCCGCAGCTCGTGATGCTGAGCACCGAGGTGCTGCTGCGGCCCACCACAGTGGCCTGGAGTGTACACGGCAGCAAGGTGTACGTCGGCACCGCAGGTGGCACCGTCGCCGTGGGCCGCTACGACGTACACCAAAGGTGGTGGATATGCAGAATACTGCTCAACGCACAGCCTCACCACCTCACGAGTCACTCTCCCGCGCCGCACGATGTTCATGCGCACACGGAGGCAATGAAGAATACGGAATATCCACTGCACAGCGCGCTGTCCTTCCTTTCCTCTTTCACCGCCCCACGCGACCACCTTATCGTGACGGTTGTACCGCATCCGGCGGACAACACAAAGGTGGCGATCGCCCTCCTTAACGGAACCGTGCAGATTCTGTCAACGCGCATGAAAGCTGTGGACGGCGGCGTTGCGAGTACGCCAACTTCTAAGACCTCCGATCCAGCAGGTGAGGGAGAAGGTGAATGCAGCGCGGGAAGCCGCACCTCTAAGGAGCCGTTCGGGCATGTGTACTGGAGCTGCTCCCTTCCTTGTTGGCTGCACGACCTCTCCTGGAGTCCCTCCGGTAGGTTTCTGGCCGCCGTGGGTCATGACAGCGTGTTGCACGTGTTGCATGGTGTTACCTCATCGCCATCAGCTGCATCTGGCAACCCACCTTCGGGTGACGGTCGTCTGACGCACACCACTCTTCGCCTGCGAACGCTGCCGCTGGTGCGGTGTGCGTTTACGTCAGACAACTCGCTTGTCGCCGCCGGCTTTGAAGGACGCGTGAACGTCTTTGGCGCCGCACAGGATGGCACGTGGCACCTTGTCGCGGAGGACAATGAAGGCGAAAAGCCCCCCACGGCGGCACAGCTCGACGGTACAGGGGCTCCGCCGTCCGCCATGCCGGGTGCGACACCAACCCACAGCAGCCAACACGAAACGAACGTGAGTGTAAAGAGCCGCCATGCGTCCGACGATGGCAATGCCGCCGTTGTCGAGGTGACGCACAACGAGAAATCGGTGCGCCAACGGGCCGCTGAATTCATGGAGAAGAGTGGTGGTCTTCCACCAGCACCAGCACCAGCGGCGGGCGCACCGCCATTTGTTCGGCGCAAAGCCAGCGGTTTGACTCGGTTGCTTGTCCCCCTGTTTCACGCTGGTACAACAACGGCTGTGGGATCGACTGGGGAGAAGCAGGTGAGGCCAAACACGAGCGCTTTCGTCTCCGCTAACAGCGATGGGCGTGTGCAAGTGTGGTGCCTTGATAGCGCAGTGCCTGAATGACGGAGCGCAGCCTCGGCGGCCACACGGCATATTGGCAGCGTGTCTCCTCTGCTTTTTACACTACACGCACCTTGTCACCCAATTATTCTGATCCAACTCGCAAAGATGCCGTGGATGGAAGGAAACGCTTCTTTCGTATGTGAAGTATCTGAAGCGTAAAACCTCTGCTGGAGGCGCTGCATGGTTGACGGCTGCCGCGCGCTACAACGCGGCATACATTTTCTGCTGGAGGAGCACCGCTTTTCCTGCGTACGAACTGTTCCGAACTCTTCTTCTCAACTCCTGCCGTTGTCACTCTCAAAAAACCTCGCACCCTGGCGTGTTCATCTGCGGCTATCGACTCGGCCCTACTTGAATGTCCGATTGCTGCTGTTGTACAAGGAAGGCGCCTCTGCACCGTTGATAGACGCGGAAGTACTTGACATTTTTGAAGAGACAGTTAACGTTGCGCAAACAACGATTTCATATTCAGACTACTATATATATATATATATAGCAACTCAAGCGACTGCTCGTTGACCGCAGCGTCGGTCTTCGGCATTTTCGTTTCGCTCCTTCCTTCATCGAAGAACTTTGTTCAGACTTCAAGACGTAGCCAAAACAAACCCATCTCTTTTGACGAGCATGAACAGCAGTAGCACACACGCCGGGCCGCCCTTCTCACCGCACGACGCCGCGGCGGGAAATGGTGTCGTGTTCAAGAAGCAGGTGTTGAAGCTGGGGCTAGACGGTAGCAGTCTGCCTCGGCTAGTGGTGGTGACGGAGAAGAACGTGTACGTCTGCCTCCCTTCTGGCGGGATCACACGCACCATCGCGGTCGCATGCATTGAGCGGATCACGCTGAGTCCGCGCGAGGACATGGTGAGCGGCGATGCTAGCGATGCTACCGACGTCGCACCTCCTTCCAGTCCTAACAAAGCCAAGAAGGAACCGTCGAGGTCTCCGGGCTCCTTCTTTGCCTCCGTCTTCTCGCGTGGCAGAGGCGGGGCCAAAGACTCCGAAAAGAAGAGCGCCAGCAGATCTCGTCACCGGTACGAAGAGGACGTGGATGAGACCCACCCCGCGTCCCCGAAGAGTGCTGCACCGCCGACACAGCAGCCAGGCCCGAGCGCCGCGCTATCCAGCAGTGACCAGCAGAGCAGCACTGGCGTCTCTCCCGCCGAGTGGGCCGTCATCGCCACGCTCGGCATCGCGTCGGAGGCTCCGCTGGCCCTTCAGCTGCTGCGTGTCGAGGATGGCGTAGACTTCGTCGCGGCCCTGCGTGCGTCGCCGCACATTTCGGCCAGCGCGGTCTTCAACGTGCCCGACGAAGACGGACCGACAAACGCGATGGGCGAGCTGCTTTTTGCTCCGCCGGCGCGACGCGCCGATCCGATCGTGCCGCGTGTGCTGGAGCGCGACGCGGACGAAAAAGAAGGAGTGACGCAGAAGAAGCCGGGGAGTGACGTTGCCGAGAACACTGCCGTGGACGAGGTGGAGCTCTCGCCCTCCTCGCCGCGCAGCACCAACGTTGCCTCCCCTCCCCCAATGACCGTTAGCGCCGACGTTGAAGTTCCTTCGCTTCGGGTGCGCAACGCTGGTAGAGTCGCCGTAAGGGACGCTGTCAACGGCAAGAATAATAATTACAACGCAGAGGAGATCGCCGAAAAGCTGCGTAGCGGTGGGGCGAGAGGTCAGGAGGCGGGTGCATTGCACACGCGGGAGCACGCCTCTTCCCATTCTTCCCCTCCCTCGTCTCGATCGCCTCCGCCTTCTTCCAAGGCGAGCAGTGTTCACACGGCAGAGGAGGTGGTGACGCTCACGCCTGTGCACGCGCCGACCCGCCCTTCACCGGATGCAACGCCCCAGATGCAGCAGCAGCAGCAGTCGCAAAAGGCGAAGGAACCACCGGCTGCCGCAGCGACAAGAGGAAAAAGCCACCGCGACATCTTGTACAGTCGCACCCTCACCTGCAGACGTGCAGCTCCTTCCAGGTGCACTTCAGCTCACACCGGATGGCAAGTACGTGGTGGTGTGGAGCATTCGGTTGATGCGAAAGGAAATCACGGCGGTGGCGGCGCGTCACTCACGCATTCCGCCGACGCAGCGCAGCTATCACGTAACGGCAGAGTCGTGCCTGCACATCTTAGAGTTTTCAACTGGTGGGTGCGTCGGCAAGCACTTCGAGGCCCTTGAGAACGATACCGCTGCGGTGACCTCCGTCGAGGACATCAGCTTCCGGGCTTCAGAGTGGGCCGACTACGTACACCTGCGCAGCCGCAGCCTGGCCATGCAGATCCACGTGGAGGACGGCGCCGGCGCATCGTCAGCAAAAGCGCGGTACTACGTCATGGTGCCAGAGGTGTCGTGTACGCAACTGTTGAGTGGGCGGAGTTGCATTCCACTTCCTAGCGGTGACGCGGATGTTGGACCGACGCGGGTTTGTGGCCGGCCGATTTACGTCTACGAAGTGACGATGCAAGAGGGCTATTCTGCTTCCACCGCGGTGGCGGCGGTCGTGCGGCGACTGTCGCACAGCCCCGGAGAGCTGGAGTCGTTGGTGCGCCAGGGCAGCGATCTCGCCTGGAAGGGAGGTCTCGAGCAGGACGAAGCTGCAATGCCATGGTCGCCTCCGACTGCCTTCCACTTCTCTTTAACGTCTTTTGCAGGCGAGATCCAGCGTTTGGAGACTCAGCGTGACCTGCACAGGAGCGGTAGCACGGCTGGTGAAGCACCCCACGCCCTGTGCCGCGCGCCGCTGCTTCTCCTCCGCCGTGCCGTGGCACCTTCACAAGACCTGAAGAATCTAATTGCCGCCTCTCCTCTGGGTGCTGCGCTCGGTGCGGAGGGTCGGAAACAACTCCTCGCCGCCAACACCACAACTGCCACGGTGGAAGGGCTTCTGCTGACGACAAGCGTGGAGGCGGGCACGACGTCCCTGTTGGTGTACTCCGGTGAGGTGCCGGGTAGTGGTTTAGCCGTGCAGCGCTTCCTGACTGCGCCGGCGCGAGCTCCGATTACACTCGCCAGCGAAGCGAACACCCGCGAACTGCCTCACGAGAAAGGAGAAGCTAGTGCGGAGCAGCAGCAGCAACGGCAGCAACTGTGGGCGAAGTTGTGCGAGGAGCTGCACCGCGAGCGCGACTACGCGTGTGGGGCCCTTCTCATGGCCACGGTAAGCCCTCCGCCTGGTAACACCGCCGCTGCAGGTGGTGCGGCTACGGCATGTGTTCCACCGCCAATATCCACGAATGACGCGACCGAGTCAGAGCACAAGGAAGAGGGCGTGGAGCCGGCTTCCACCGCCGCGAATCACGTGCAGCCCGGCTCACCAGAGGCGCACGTGGTGGAGTTGCTAAAGGATGTCGTCCCGCAGCTGAGCACCGCGGCGACAACAAAGCTGCCCGTTGCGCTGGTGCACGTGCGAGGCTACGGCACCGTTCGCGTGCACCTCCTCCCCCACATCGCCCCGCTCGCCTCCGAGAACTTCGTTCGGCTAAGCCGACAGCGCAAGTACGACCGCCTCACCTTTCACCGCGTCATTCCGAATGCAATAGTGCAGGGCGGGTGTCCGCGAGGGGACGGCACCGGTGGAGAAAGCGCCTTTGACGGCGGCGCGCCTTTCCAGGATGAGGCTCTCCATGTGTTTCCCTTCTTCTCCCACACGATGGAGAAGGATTGTTGCTGGCTGTGTATGGCCAACGCCGGCCCAAACACAAACGCGTCGCAGTTCTTCTTTACGGTGCCGGGTGGGGAGGCGATGCCGTGGCTGAACGGCCATCACACCGTCTTCGGGTTTGCGGTGGAGGGGCTGGATGTGGTGCGGGCCATCAGTCTGGCCGCGCGAGACGAGGCGGACGCGCCGCTGTCGTCGATCATCATTGAACGAGTGGACGTTCTCTCCGGCTAAAAGAAGAAGAGAAGAAATGCGGAAGGAGCTCTTCTTTTCTTCTTTCATGTTTCGGAGGTATTCCTTCTTAAAACGAAACTGCTAAGCCTTTTGAGCCGTCGACGCTGTGTGCGTTGTCCTTCACACCGAATTAAAAGAAAGAAAAGGAGCATCACATGTGTTGCAATGATCGTTTTGTTTGTTTCTTTCTCTTGTCACTCAGTTTTGTTATTGCGTTGCAGACGCTCGTTGTAGAGGAGTTCATGTTGAGCTGCCTTTCTTTTCTTAACCTGCTCATCCTCTATGCCTACTATCATTGTCATTGTTATCCCCCTCCCCTCCCCCTTTATTCTTCTGAAACCCAAACTGAGCACCGAGTGAACTCAGATGTGCTCGCCTTACTCCTCTACACTAACACACATATAATACTACTATTCGTATTTGCTCTTGCCACCCTTTTTACTGTGTTTCGCTGCACAGCGTTGCTGTATCGTTCAATTGCAAGCGAACACGAACCCCCTTTTTCGCCCTCCAAGTTTTCGAAACAAGTGTCTCGCTGCCGCTCTAGCACCACCAGCAGCTATGTCTACTAGGAAGCGTCAGCTGCTGAAGATTATCATCCTCGGTGACAGCGGCGTCGGCAAGACGTCGTTGATGCACCAGTACGTGAGCCACCGCTTCGACAGCCGTTACAAGGCCACCATCGGCGCGGACTTCCTCACGAAAGATGTGGAGATCAACGGGCGCGTGGTGACTCTGCAAATCTGGGACACCGCCGGCCAAGAGCGCTTTCAGTCCCTCGGCTCCGCCTTCTACCGCGGTGCAGACGCGTGCATTTTGGTCTTCGACGTGACCCAGCAGGAGTCCTTTGCGCACGTCGGGTCGTGGTTGGAGGAGTTCAGCATTCAGGCCGGGCGTCGCGACAGCGTACTGGTGGGCAACAAAACCGACCTCGAAGACCGCCGCCAGGTGGCGAGCAAGACGGCGCAGGCGTGGTGTGCGAAGCAGAACGCGGAGGCCTCCAGCAACAACGACACCACCGGCTTCGAGGCGGGTGAGGGGGCAACGCCGCAGATCAAGTATTTCGAGTCGTCGGCGAAGGAGAGCGCCGGGGTGGAGGAGGCGTTTGTCGCGGTGGCGCAGCTGGCCTTGGCGAAGAAGGCGACAGTGGAAGACGCCGCACCGATGCCGCAGACAGTGAACTTGACCCAGCCACAGACCGAGCCGGCAGCCAGCTCTTCTGCATGCAGCTGTTAAGAAGAAGAAGAGCCACAGAGAACTCTTAGAGTGAAGTATTTTTGTTTGTTTGCTTTCCTGCGCTGCCCTCCGCGGCGGACCTGCATTTCGTTATCACGGCGTTGCCTGATCGTGCTTCGGTGTTGACTGTAGGTCATTTCGTCGTTCTTGCTGCCTTGTTTCTGCCAACATATACACACACGTTTGTCTATTATTGTTGTTTTCGCGCGTGTGTGTGTTCTCTTTCTATTCCTTATATATTTATATTTTTGTGTGGTGTTGCTGACGTTTGCAGAAGAAGGCAGTCAGTCACGAATTGAGTCGTCCTTTTTTTCTTCTTCCTCTTCTCTTGAGAGGGCGTTTTCATCGAGAAGTGTGTGTTTGTCGGTCGGCTCATTGATGCGCATACCCAAGCACACACACACGCGTGTATATATCAGTTATCCTCCCGTCACCAGTGGAGCGCACCTTCCCTGCGTCGCTCCGTCCTGTCTTTGAAAGAATACATGCAAGACACCTCGAAGACAAAAAGGGGTCTTTTCCCCTCTGTTCCCTTACCTCCCCCCCCCTCCCCCTCCTTCTCTCTCGACTCATGTCTGTGTGGTCAACATTCTACTGTTGTGTCTTTGAGGTGTATTGCTCTGTTTTTGTGGAACGTCTGCTTGAGTTTCGCTCTTTTAAGAAAGCAAATAAAAACTACCGTGTGTCTCTGTGTCTCTCGCTGTTTGTGTTTGGGGTTGGGTGGGTGAGTGCGCAGGGGAATGCGAAACGCATATTATTTTTGTTATTGTTTCTTCCTTGCCATCCCGCCGCCGTTGTCCAAAAGAAAAAGTGAAAAGCCGTAGCAGATATCGGAAAGAGAACAGCAGAGCCGCATTTTTTTTCCTGCCTTCACCTTTTCGCATACCTCCCTCATTCTTGAGTGTTGTGTTGCTCTCTACTTCTCCTGCGCATGCAGAGCTTAGCGCGGCGGTGAGGCAGTCTTGTGCTCTTCTTCTCCATTTGGTGGTGTTGGCCATGGGAGGCGAGCCTGCTCTGTCACAGCAGCTTCCCGACACTCCACGTGTAAAAGCGTGTGAGCGAACTTAAGCCGTTTCGCTTGCCAGACTCTGAAGGTCTGTGTCGCATGATCTTCCTCTTCCTTTCTCTTTTCTGTTTTTTTCTTTTCACTTCTTCCCCGCTCCTCTTCTTCCTGTTCATCTTCGAAACGCTCATCAACATCAAACCGGTTTTTTGCTGCACACCTCATGTATTCTTGTTGTTGCCGCTGCTGAGTTTTCTTCTTCAAAATAAAAAGCAAAGTGCAACAACGCAAAGAAAGGACTCTCCTTTTTGCTTATATACGCAACCAAGACAAGACAGGGCGGATAACAGAATCCCATACCTCTGCCGGCCATCCTTTGCCACCTTTTTGCGACAACTTAGACTAAATAAACGCATCAAAATAGAGGATAATAATAGTGTTCGTGGAGAAGCAGTCTTTGACTAGCATTGCAAAGAACTGCATCCGTTGTGCTGTAGCAATCAGCCTTTTTCTTCTTCTCTTCTTTTGGTTTTCTCGGTCTGCTTTTGGGTGCTTGCATAGCCCTTATGGAAAACTGCCGAAGGAGCGCGGCCATCAGCTGAAAGTCGCACAAACGTTTAACTTTTCAAAAATACAAATCCTTTTTTTTTTCTTCTTCTCTCCTGACGTGTCTGGGTGGAATTGCTGGTGCAATTGTGCTTCATGTAGCAGCGAGATTCGTTATCGCCTACCAACCTCATTTTCTGGTGTTCTTTTATGGTGTATGGGTGTGTGTGTGTGTGTGTAAGTGATAACGCTGCGGGCAGAGTTCATCTATAAACCCGCTCTACGCCGTTGTCTTCGCACGAACTCTTCTTTCTAAATTGTGTACTGTTTTTTGTTTCTCTATCTGTGTCTGTGTCATTTACGCCTTGCACTCCTCAACTCCATTGCTATTTAAATATATATATATTCGCTGATATACCCTTTCCCTTGCAGAGCCTTTTCTGTTGTGCGGGGTGCGTGGCGCGCCTGTTTTTGTTTGTTGCGGTTCGTTGTTGGCTCGTCAGCCAGGAGGAAGTGAGATATATTTTTTTTCAACCTCAAAAAGGAAGGAGGAAACGAATAATGTTCCAATATGAAGATTTAATGTGGCTGATCAGCTTCCCGCTGGTGTGTGCCGTCATGCTGTGGTTCTCCCTCGATCTCGCGGTGCTCGTGCGCGTGGGCGGCGGCCGTCGTCGTCGCAGCAACGCCCGTCGCGCGATTGAGCGTTTGATCATGAGCAGCCCGGTGTGCGCCCCAACGTCGGTCGAGTCGTCACGCTCGTCACCAGCGACGCCGACTGGCGCATCAACCGAGCCCGTAGCACAACGCGGCAGCGCGGCAGCTTCTCTGCCGGAGCGAGAGGCGAGCAACAACAATAACAGTAGTAGCAGCGCAGAAGGTGAGTATTCAACGCGGCAGAACGCGACAACACTCCCTTCTTCCTCCTCCACCCCATACGCGCATCGACAGCCGCAGCGCTATCAGAAAGTGCGACTCGTGACTGTGCCAGCAGCGCTGCGTATCGCAACTCGTGCTGTGGTGCGCCGCGCCGTTGTTATGGTGGGCGGCGACTTCGCTCGATCACCGCGCATGCAGTACCACGCCGCCAGCCTGGCCCGCAGCGGCCTCTTTGACGAAGTTTTGCTTGTCGGGTTAGACTGTGGCAATCAGCTGAGCGAAGACCTGCTGATGAGCGGCGAGCCGCAGCCGGAGCGCTTCGTGACCCGTGAGGGGACAACGAAGAACGGCATGGAGCACGCCGTCTACGATGTACAGGCGCGAGTCTGCTCACCTGCGGTCCACGCCGGCCACGGCTGTATCATCTCCACGCGCTACCTAACGCGTCCGCCGTCGCCGCCCGAGTGGTTCCAGGCGGTCTTTCCATTGCGCTCTCTGCACTGGGCTGTGTGCACCCTCTACCGGTTTGTGGCACTCACGCTGCTGTTTGGCGTGCAGATGGCACGGGTGACCGCGATGCGCATCAGCGGGCACGGCCAACTGTTCGTGACGGACCTCATCATGATTCAAACCCCGCCAGCCGTTCCCTTTGTGCCGTTGGTGAAGTACGTGGTCTGCCCCTTTGCGTTTCTGTACAACATGTTGCTGTACTACGGTGTGGTGGTGCCGGCTGCGTGGATGCACCCGGATGCGATGCGTGATATGCGGCGCGAGTGCCGGCTGCAGTCACATCGTTTTCGCGCACAAGCAGAGGAAACCCACGTCGACGGTGCGGATGATGCTGGTCGGGGAGCAGAGCCCCGCGCTGTGGTGCCCCGGCCCTCGCGCATTCGGCCGTGGGTCTTCTACCCCGCTATTGTGGTGGACTGGCACAATTACGGCTACACGATCCTGGAGCAGAACGGGCGACCCACCGCGGCGGTAGAGCTGTACAAGCTGTTCGAAGTGCACCTCTGCGCCGGCGACGTGAACGTGACGGTGAGTCGAGCCATGCGGCATTCTCTTGAGTGCTTCTACCCCTGGCTGAAGTCCCGGGCAGCTGCGGCGTCTCCGCTATCCTCGCTTGCGGCTCGGTCTTACCAATTTGTCAGGGGAAAGCCGCACAAGGCAGCAGTGGAGAGCACAACCACAGCAGCAGCAGCAGCATCGTTGTCATCGTCATCGTCATTGTCGTTATCAACGAGTGCGGTGACGGTGCTCTATGACGTCGCCCCGTCCTTCTTCCGGCCAGTCTCACGTCGACGCTGCGTCCGCGACGTGCTCGATCGGCTGTTGC